CCAATCAGGGGGCAGAGGGGCCCAAGTGGGGAGTGGAGAGAGATCAGGGGGGAGTGGGGAGCAGCATGGCAGGCCTTTCTGCCCCTCCTCCCCAACCTATACTGTGCCTAGAGAACTTACAATCAGGATAGGCATAGAGTAGACTTGTAGTCTCTAGCCACATCCCTGCCAGCCCTCTAGCAGCAGGTCTGAGCAGTGCACATTATAGAGGGTATTAACTCCAAAGATGTGACTGATCATCAGGGACCCTGGTGTTCTCTGATTAAAAAATTCCACAATTTTTAGGTTTAAAAAGTAACCTCAAATCCACATTTTTCCATGATTAAAGTAAAACACCACTAATAACCTCTCATTTTTATTACCTCTCTAACCCTAACACAGACCTACTAACTCTAAAATGTAATCTCACCTTAAACCTGGACAGAAGTGGGACATCCTAAGCATATGATGCTTAGGACATGCCTAAGCATAGGCATCCTAAGCATATGATATCAAGCATATGATGTCTAAGCATATCAGCCCAAGAGAGGCCGAGGTGCTGGTCTGAGGTTCCCCCTCCTTTCTTGCTCCTGGGGTCCCTGCAAACCACATAGACTCTGCACACCCAGATCCAGCTCCAGGCAGGCTCCACACCTGAAAAAGGAAGGTGGGGAGGATGCAGGGGGTGGGGGAGAGGGGGGGGCAAGGAGCTACCGGACAAATGCAGGGCCCAGTGGGCCTGTTTCATTGCTGCCACCACTCTCAGGCTGATTGGGGTGGCAGGACATCAATCCAAGAGCAGAGGTGCCAATCAGGGGGCAGAGATATGACATCCTAAGATATGTCAGACATATGACATCCTAAGCATATGCCTATGTTTTTTGTGACTTGAACACAGAGGTGGACCCATAATGCACACTAAGCGTCACTCTAGGCTCCAGATGACTTCCATGAGATTAATACATCCACCAAGGCACAAGATCAAACAAAGATAGTTAAATATATCTGTTTCTTAAATGCTTACAATCCACCATTTTCCATTTAATATTAAAAGGTTACGCCAACAAGATAAGAAGATATTTGGAAAAGAATTTGAGGATTATTCTGTGTGGGCTGGGAGCAATCCAGGCCCTTTTTGTGCTCTGCGCGGGCTGTGGCCAGCAGCCCTGGCACGCGACTTACACCGAAGATGGTCGTGGTGTAGGCTGGACAGCTTTCCAGGCATAGCTCCACTTAAATCCTCGTTTGAGGACTACGACAAGCTCGCTCTCTCCCACGGAGTTGTTGAAGCTCCGTGGGTCCGTTTATTCTCTCTCCCACGAAGTTTGCTAGGCTCCGTGGGTCCTTTTGCGCGCAGGGAGGGATACGTCTAGGAATCTATCGGTGATGGGGAGAGGCGAGAGGCTGATCAGACCTCTGTTGCCTGCTTTAAATGCGCTGGGTCCAATAGGCTCCGCAGCGCTTAGAGATCTTCACAAGACGTGAAGTCTCCTCCTCCTGGTGTTTGTGGAGTCCTCCAACTTGGGCGGAAACCACTCAAGCTTCTTATACGGCTAGCAAGCCAATCACTAGCCGCCACGTGTGAATAATTTCATGCAAGCCAATAATGGGGCTCGAATTAGAATACAAATGGCGGGAACTCTTTGCACCGAGCATTTCCTAGATGCAAAAAGAAATGCACCATGCAAAGAAAGCTACAAATTGGCAAGAAATTCTCCCTTGCACCGGGGTTCTCCTTTACAGCAGAAAACTCCACCGTGCAAAGAAGCTGCAATTTGGCGGGAAAAATAATTTAGCAGTGCCAAAGCACACACAAAACAAAAATCACAACTTTGGGTTGTGACATATTCAACAATAGTTTTGCTTGCATCCTAGCTATCTGCTTATGTTAAGCTATTTGTTTGAAAGAAAGCAAAATATTCTGTATTAAACTGAAATTAATATGGAGAGCAGTTTCAATTCTATTTTCACTGTGTAGAACCAAAGTAATCATACACAGGGCCTCTCTGTGGCATTTGTCACAATTTATACACACTAACAGGTTTGCAGGGTTTCCATCATCCAGCTTTCAAAACGTTATTTACTGTAAGGAATCATGAAACACAGCTCTGTTCCATGAGTGTTTTTCTTTCTGGATACCTTATGCAAAGAACAACTTTAAATTTAACATATTACTCAAAGGTTGCTCATGTTATCTTCATCCTTGGGATTAAACCATGGAAGGTAACACTGTGGTTGAACTCCTTGTAATCTTCACTGATGTGTGCAGTCTGGGTTAAAGGATGGATTCTGTTTTTCAGAACATTCAGGACTCCCTTAAGATAACACAGATATGTACACTAACTTACCCTGTAGACTTGTCGAGACAGTTATACCAACAGTTTTGTGATACTCATAATCTGCAACATGCAGCTTTTAACAGATAGCAATTAGTCATGTCATTCTACATTCTTTAAAAAGACTCAGTACTAAAAAAAGGAGAATATATGGTTGCAGTCACTTTATTTATTACTAAAAGGAAACTGTGCTTATCAGTAGGTTCTCCTCTGCTTCTCCTCCCCAGTGCATACAAGACTGCCTTCTTCAGCATAAAATACTGAGCTGAATTACCATGGCCAGAGCATATGTGCAAGGGTTTCTTTCAATCTGCACCTTGTCTGAATGCTCCCCTCTTATATCCTGCCTTAGCATGTGTAAAGGCACTTTATGTCCTTTACAATCATTAAGGAATGCAGTTACATTTGATGAGACCTTCAATATGTTTAAGTATTGTCTGATATCTTTTATTGGACCAACTGCATGGCTGGGATAAAGTCAGACAGGCTTTCAAATGCAAAGCATTATTCCGCAAGTCTAAGGAAAGAAGCAAGCACAGTGATAGTTAAGACCAGTGGGTAAAGCTCTGTATTTAGAAGGTGGGGGTGGGGAGAGAGAAATTTCCAGGGGTATCAGACAAACAATTACCAGAAGAAATGAAGTTTGCTTACTGAGAAATCAAGAGCTATAAAGAGAGAGGAAGGTCATTATCGCCTGTAGTGTGCAGGAAGAATCAGGTAGATTATAGTGTGTCATAAAATCAATACCAGTATTCAGTCCTTGGTTCCTAGTGTCAGCCAGCTTATGAATTTTTGTTCCCAAACTTGCCTTTTAAAGGTGTTTGGTAGATTTCCCTTGAGCACAAGGATAGTGAGGTCAGAAAAGGAGTGGTTGTTCTGTGAAAAATGTGCTCCTACTGACGTACACATCTCTGTTTTTCATGTTTTCTGTAAGAGTCCATTCTGGTGTGTAGTTGCTGTTTGGTTTCACCCACATAGTTACCATGAGGGCATTTGGTGCTGGCTGGACACACAAAAATATTTCTATGCCTTCAGGGACATGACATCTGTTACTAAGACAGCAAATAATAAGTAAGTTATAAAGATACATTTTAAATAAACTAATGAGAAAATTCAATCACTGTTTTAATTCAACATTCAGAGAGCCACAAGTAAGACAATTATTGCTATTATACAATTCTGTATAGTTAAAATTAAAATGAAAGCATTTTCTGAAGTGAAAATGGACATTTCTTGGCTCAGTCGCTTTCTAAAGCAAAGGACTGACATCTGCTGGTGATATTTATGTAAGCTGGCAAGGTAGCTTTCCAAAAGAAAATGCTAGATAGTATTTCAAATGCTTCCATCATTTTTTACGAATAACGTAGTTGCTTTGGAATATTTAACGAATCTCTGAAAACTTAGATTTCAGAATTAATTAAACTTATTGGGCATATCTACATGAGACGTTTACTGCAGAACTGCCTAATTAGCTCTGCAATAAGTGTCTCAATATCTACACATGCCGGGCTATTAGACTGAAGTAAATAATTAATTCTGCCTCAGGTTAGTGCTTGTAAATACAGGTACTATCCTGCGGCAGAATTTTTTAATGCACAGCAGTGCACATGTAGATGCTGACCCGACTGGCTGGGGCATAAGGATGCTTCAGTCCAGGTGCTGCCTGCTGGCTAACCCTGCACTACATAATGCTCATGCCCCAGCCAGCCCCTCCACAGGGGTGTTTCAGCCCTGAGCAGCGAGTTGAACCAGATGACCTCTGAGGTGTCTTCCAGCCTTACTTTCCTAGAAATGGCAGGAATACAACTGCTAAAAGGGATAAAATATTTATATGAGGATTATTTGAAAATAAAATAAAATAAAAAAACCTGGCAAATGCCCACTTGAGCCTCTTCAATGAATGCAAACTTTAAAAAAAGGTTTTGAATGGACTTCTTACACTAAAGCCTAAGTCAATTCAACTAGCTTTACTGAAGGGAGCTGGATCCATTTCTAAATTATGCTTTGCACACAGTCTAAAGTAAAGCTGTGAATAATGGGTCCAAGTTTAATATCACACCCATCATTGTGATATCTGAACACACATGAAATTGTGAAGTGATTGAATAGCACCCAAAGTGGTACTTACTAAAGGGTACTTCATAAATTACTGCTTTATTTATGAAGCACCTTTTTATCAAGGCGATCATGGCACTGTATTATTTCATAATAAACCAGTACAATAAAAATCACTGTGATTAATCACAGCTGAAAGAATAGGATTGAAAGCGAAGAAATGCCTGGGAAACTGGGAGAGTGGGAAAGATTCTAAATATGAAGGTGACTAATAAAACATTTTAACAGGCCAACTTCTACTTGGAAAACAAACAGATGCACAGCCCATTTTTAATAATACAACAAATATTTAAGAAGTTAGCAAGAAGGCATAATTAAAAGCCTACCTACATATCAAGACATATAACAGCATTTTGCACAGCTTCATCAACCACATAGCCAAACTAAAGCCAGGAAGTAGTTCCATTTATTACATTTCCTCTTCCACTGGAGTACCTCTAAACTCCAGACAGGATCCTTTTTTAAAATCCTCATCGGGTATCTGGTTTGGGCTCCCTGATCAACTGCCAAAGAACAGATTTCTAATTTGCTGTTGAAGACTGAGCTCTAAGAATGGCTCCTCTGATGAAACAGTTCTGCAGTTCTGAAACAGCTGAAATATATCAGGAAGATACTCCAGACGACAGAGCCATTCAGCCTTCAAAACTCAGCAACCTGACCAGCAAAAGCAAAGACATTATCTTAGATTTTGCCACAATTAAAAGAGATAAGATGAATTTAGATGAATTTCAGTCATCTATTAGCAGTGGACCAACAAGTTACTCTGTATCCATCTGCTAAGAACAGTGGTAGATATCCAAAGCCCTTTATATAAAAGTTGTGTTTATACTAAGGAATTGTAGCAAAATCATTTCAGCTGGTGATACTGCAGAGACAGCCAAAGAAGCAATAATAGTGTAAATGATGTTTGAGCTCTTTCAGGCTTTTGACAATCTAGTGAAAAAAAAAAGGCTGCCAGTGGTGGGGATACTGGAGCTTTTATCCATGCAAAAACACTGGAAATATTTTGCTAATAATCCCTTAGTGTTGACAGATTTGTAAAGGACAAGGCTAAAGTAAGATATTGAAAATTAAATGCTCACATACTCCTGGGACTCCCTGCAGGATTAAGTGAACTTTTCCTCCTCCTCTAAATGGGTCTGAAAACTAAACAGAACTATAGGTAAAAAAGAAATGTCAAAAATAGAGCCAGAGCGACAACCAGCTCTGATGGCACCCTTAGACTTCTGTTACGTGCAATAACTCTAAAGGTAGCCTACAAACTACCGAGTTCTCTTGCCTATTCAGATGCAGAGACCCTCATCTTTTCAGGATTTTTTTTACCTCTTTTAGCAGAAGTTCAATCCACCAAGAGAACTATTTAAAAAACATACCCCCCCCCACACACACACGCACAACACGTCTACACATGAACTTTAATGCACATTAGCCTATTTTAATGTGCATTAAAGCATCACTAAAAAAATGGTATTTAGTTAATGTGCATTAAGACAGGCTAATGCTCATTCTTCTAGTATCTCACCATGGAGGGCATTTTTACACATGCTCCAGGAGTGGGGATAGGGGGACGTTTTAATTAAAGAGGCTCAAACGAACTTTAGATAAAGCGCCTCCACCACCACTTTGAAGCACAGAGACACTGATACATGAGATGTGAGAGGCTGCAGGAGCACAGTAATTGCCATGTTCTAGCAGACTCAATTAATCGAGCCTGCTCCGTCGTGCTATAATTCCAGTGCATCAGAGCAGCCTCCCTGCTCATGTATAGGCACCCACAGGTACTAGATTTAATGTGCATGAACTAAAGCGCATTACTGCTCATGTAGTGCTACATATGCTACCTCTAACCAGCCTGAAAAACTATTACAGGAATATATATCTTTGTTTTAAAGCCCTGAAGAAGTTTGAAACTTGACAAGGACTCAAAAACAGAGCCTGTGTGTTAAATATTTTTTGTATAATTGACTCAAACACACTTTTTTCTTAATTACCTGCCATCATGAATATAACATAATCCTATTTAGCACGTGCAAATATTATAATAAATCATCTTTCTTATTAGTCATATGTGATGTGATTAGCTTAAGCCATTGGTCCTCATTCTCCAGGCCACAGCCAGATCTGGCCTGCAGGGGTTCCCATGAATCTGGAAATTCAGCAGGCCCATGCATCCAAAAATGTGGTGGTTGGAGAGTTGTTGCAGCATTAATTGCCACTCCCCTGCTGCCAGATTTCCAGACCCATGGGGAGCCCCATGGGCTGGATAACACAGCCTTGCCTGCTAGATTGCATTGGTGCGCAGGATGAGGCTTACACATATGGTGCTAGCCAGCATGAAGGATCACACCCATGGACCACCCCCATGCACTGACCCACTACCATATTTACTTGATTCCAAGATGAGGGATTTTTCCTCATGTTAAATGGGGAGGAAAACCTTGTCTTGGAATTGAGTAAATATGGTAGTTGTCACAAAATTATTCTGGATGGTTCTTCTTCATCAGCATATTTTCATTTAACGCTGAATGAAATGCCAGTCATGCCCAGCCTTCCAGCCCCTCGTGATGTGGGGTCAATCCATGGCCCGGATCCCATGTGGGTCAGTGTGTGGGGGTGGTCCCACATGCCAGCTGGCACCATATGAAACAATATGTGGCTTTCACTCCAGACCTGAACCCAGGTCAGGGCCAGACCCACAGCTGCTGCCTGCCACTACATTACTTCTGCACTCCTGCCTCTCCCCCACAGCTTTGGACCCCACTCCTTTTCTACTCACTCTCTCTCTCCTTTGGAAGCAAGACTACAGGGGGCAGAAGCAGCAGAGGTGTGGAGAAATGTACTCAGAGGGTAGTGGTGGATGGGTCTTTTTTGACCTGGAGGGAAGTGGGCAGCAGAGTCCCCCAGGGCTCGGTCCTTGGGCCCGCACTGTTCAATTTCTTTATTAGTGACTTGGACGACGGGGTTAAAAGGAGCCTGTTTAAATTTGCTGATGATACCAAGATTTGGAGTGAGGTGGGCACGCTAGTAGGGAAGGGCAGATTACAGTAGGACCTGGACAGGCTACAGTGGTGGGCTAATGAAAATAGGATGGGTTTCAATACTGACAAGTGCAGGGAGCTGCACTTGGGCAGTAGAAACCAGCAGCACACTTATAAGCTGGGAAACTCCCTTCTTGAGAGCACGTTGTGCATCCACAGATGCATCTCAAGCAGGGCCAAGGAGGTGATCCTCCCCCTCTATGCAACACTGGTCAGGCTGCAGCTGGAGTACTGTGTTCAGTTCTGGGCGCCGCACTTCAGGAGGGATGTGGACAGCATTGAGAGGGTCCAGAGGAGGGCCACCCACATGATCCGGGAACAGCAGGGCAGACCCTACGAAGAGAGGTTATGGGACCTTAACCTGTTCAGCCTTTGCAAGAGAAGGCTGAGGGGGGACCTTGTGGCCATCTATAAACTCACTAGGGGGGACCCACAGGGTTTGGGAGAGACCCTGTTCCCCCTAGCACCCCCCAGGGTAACAAGGAATAACAGCTACATATTGTTAGAGAGTAGGTTTAGACTGGACATCCAAAGGCACTACTTCACAGTCAGGGTGGCTAGGATCTGGAACCAACTTCCAAGGGAAGTGGTGAAGGCTCCTACCCTGGGGGTCTTTAAGAGGAGACTTGATGTCTACCTGGCTGGGGTCATTTGAGCCCGGTTTTCTCTCCTGCCCAGGGCAGGGGGTCGGACTTGATGATCTACAAGGTCCCTTCTGACCCTACTTCTGTGAATCTATGAATCTATGAAAATGGGGTCTGAGGCTGCTGGGGGGCTTTTCCAGGCTGAAGAGCCCCATGGCTCTCAGCCTCTCATCATAAGGTCTGTTTTTCTGACCTCTGATCATGCGTATGGCTCTCCTCTGCACTCTCTCAAGCTTCTCCACATCCTTTTTGAATTGTGGAGCCCACAACTGGATGCAGTACTCCAGCTGCAGCCTCACCAAGGCTGAGTATAACGGGAGAATGATGTCCCAGGATTAGCTTGAGAAGCATCTATGGATGCAAGCCAGCATTATGCTCACTTTACTAGCTGCAGCATCACATTGAAGGCTCATGTTCACCTTGTGATCAATCATGACTCCCAAGTCCCTTTCATCTGTAGTGCTAACCAGTTTAGCACAGCTGATCCTATAAGCATGCTGCAGGTTTTTCCTCCCAATGCCAAGAACCTTGCATTTTTTGGTGTTAAACACCATCAGATTCTCATCCACCCATTTCATGAGCCTGTCAATATGTGCCTGGATCACCCTCCTGTCCTAAGGTGTGGATGCTTTACCCCAGAGTTTGGTGTCATCTGCGAACTTGGCCAGCCAACTGCTGACACCAATGTCTACATCATTGATGAAGATGTTAAAAAGTATAGGCCCTAGGACAGAGCCTTGAGGGACCCCACTGGTCACAGCGCACCACGATGATTGACTTCCATCAACCATCACCCTCTGGGTCCTACTGCAGAGCCAATTCCCCAGCCAGAAGATCGTGATGTGGTTGAGGCTGCGGTTAGCCAGTTTTGCCAAGAGGTGATCATGGGATACCAGATCGAAGGCTCTCAAGATCCCTCAGGATATTGCCATCAGCTAGCATGTTAAGGATGGCCTTGTTGATAATCTTTTCCAAGACCTTCCCCAGGATAGAGGTCAGGCTGATGGGCCTGTAGTTTGCCAGATCTACTTTCTTCCCTTTCTTGAAGATAGGCACCACATTGGCCTTTTTCCAGTCTTCTGGCACTTCACCAGAGTGCCAGGAGTTCTCAAAGATCCGTGCCAGGGGTTGAGCTATGATGTTTGCCAGCTGCTTGAGAACCCATGGGTGTAAACTGTCAGGGCCGGCTGACTTGAAGGTATCTAGCCTGTAAAGGTGTTTCTTCATGAGGTCAGCTTTGATGGGGGGTAAGGAATCTCCCTCACCCGGGCCTCCCTGACCCACAGTGGGCAGGGGCATCCCATGGGACTGGTGAAAAACTGACGCAAGGTACCCATTAAGCAAGTTTGCTTTTTCATGGGCATCAGTTGTCAGTTGTCCCATCTGGTTTTGCAGGGGTCCAATGTTGCCCTTGCTTTTCCTCCGGCTCCCCACATATCTAAAAAAGGACTTTTTATTGTCCTTGATATTTGTAGCTAGCTGGAGTTCCATCACAGTCTTGGCTTTCCTGGTTTGCTCTCTGAAGGTCCAGACCAGAGCAGAGTATTCCTCCTTGGTGGTGGTTCCAGTCCTCCATTCTTTGTAGGTCTTCCTTTTAAGATGTAGGAGGTCTGCTAATTCCCTGGAGAGCCAAGGGGGCTGTTGTACCCTTTTGCTGCCTTTCCTCCGAGACGGGATAGACTTTGCTTGCTCATCCAGGATTGCTCCCTTGAAGAGCAACCACTCATCTTGAACTCCCCTCCCCTTTGTGTTGTGGCCCTTTAGGGCCTCACTGACAAGCCTCCTTAGTTTGTCAAAGTCAGCTTTCCTGAAGTCAAGGACTTCTGTATTACTGACTGACTTGCCAGCTTTATGGTGGATGGTGAAGGTGATCAGCTCTTGGTGACTATCACCCAGGTTTCCATCGATCGATAGGTCACTGATTAGGTCGTCCCGGGTTGCCTGTACTGGGTTGAGCAGCGCTTTACCTCCCATCAGCCCATAGACTTCCTGCATCAGAGAGAGGTCATCCATGCACGAGAGAAAGCTTTGCGATTGCTTGGATTTGGTTGAGCACTCCTCCCACAAGATGTCTGGGTAGTCCCATGACAAGCATGCTTTGGGAGTCTGCAGCCTCAGCCAATTCCCTGGCAAACTCCTGGTCAAGGTCTTGACCCTGGGCAGGGGGTCTGTAGTAGACACACACCATAGTATCCCCTGTGCTGTGTTCCCCATGGATTTTAACCCAGAGGGTCTCAAGTCATCCACCATGGGTGCCAATGTCAGCTTGCAGGGATGCATAGCTTTCCTTGACATAGAGAGCTACACCCCCGCCCCTTTTGTCCACTCGATCCCTCCTGTACGGGGTATAGCCGTCTATACCTGTGGCCCAGTCATGGGTGGAGTCCCACCAGGTCTCCATTATCCCTATGACATCATAGTTATTTACTTTTAGCAGGAGGACAAGTTCCAGGGCTGAGGCAGGGGTGGGTTCCCTTAAGTGCCTTAGCCTGCTGGCTTTGCAAGGCTTGCTCAGTGGGCCAGCAGTAGCAGTAGTCCCTCCCTCCACCAGCGGGCTTAGTTTAAAGCCCAGTGGAGCAGGTCAGCCAGCCTCCTTCCCAGTGGAGAGAGGTGGAGGCTGCCCCTTCCCAGCAGCTCACTGCCTCTCTCACCAAAGAGCAGAATGTGGTCATGGAAGCCAAAGCCTTCCCGATGACACCAGTGCCGCAGTCTTTGCTTAACTACCTGGATTCTCCTCTCCCTCCTCAGCCCGTAGCCAGAGACTGGGAGGATCTAAGAAAACACCACCCACCTGCGCCCCCAGACCCTTTAGCCCCACTCCCAAATCCCTGTAGTGCCTCATGACCTGGCTGGGAGTGCTCTGAGACATGTCATTGGTGCCCACATGGATGAGGAGCATGGGATAGTGGTCAGTGGGCTGGAGGAGCTTAGGGATCTTCTCCGCAATGTCTTGGATTCTGGCTCCCGGGAAGCATCAAACTTTCCAGGCTAAGGGGTCGGGAAGGCAGATTACCCCATCGGTCCCTCTCAGGGTGGAGTCTTCCATGACAAACACTTCGCATTTTGTCTTGGGGAGAGCAGGGGCGGTAGCTGCAATTGAGCCTGTGTTGCCTGTGACAGCTGGCAACTCAGCAGGCTCTGCTGGGGCTGCAAGAGGTTCATACCTGTTGCAAAGCTCCAATGGGGTGGGGGCCTTGGTGTGGTAGACCTTGGGGCCCTTGACCACCTTGGTCCAACCCCTGGGCTGGACAGTAAGGGAGGTCCCTGAGTCCTCCCTTGTCCTGGAGGGAGACCATGGTCTACCCTCCACCTCCTGGGGGAGAAGGGCCTGGCAGTAGGAGTCAATCTCCTGCTCACAGTCCCTGATGGCACACAGTCTCTGGACTCCTCCAGCTGGCATGCTAGAGACCTCAAAAGGGAGCAGACCTCCCAAGGGGAGGTGGCCATGCTCCCAGGCCCCAGAGCCTGAAAAAGTGACAGGCAGCCTCTGCAGCTGAGAGTCAGAGGCTCCGTCTGTGTGGCACCTGGAACCATGGGTTCCATCTGGGTGGAAGCCTCTGAGACACTAGAGTGGGGAGGCGCAGACCCCGAGGGGACCTGAGGGGTGTGGCGCGTGCCCATCCATGACATGCCGCTAGTAGGCCGGCTGTGGCTGGGACTGCCTACCCTAGGGGGCTCACAGGCAGAGCCACGGGCCCTCCCAAGCACCCTCCTGTGCAAACTCCCATGCTAACTTGCGCGCTGGGCCCAGGAGCACACCTGTTTACGCAGCCTGTTCATGAGGCTCCTGTTGCATGGCTCCCTAGGGGGACTGGGCCAAGTAGGAGCCAGAGGGCACTAGAGCATACCCTTGACTACAAGGAAGCTGTGCTGGGGAGACATAGCCAGCCTGGGCTGAAGTGGCCAAAGAGGTGTTTAATTCCCCTTCCCTGTCCCACAGGCAGGGACCTGAGCCCAGTTTACCAGGTGCTTTGCCCCCACTGCTGCAGGCAGAGCTGCGGCAGACTGCATGGCAGCACCAGGGCTCAGAGGGGGGCCAGAGCCCTCTAAGCCCCCCACAATGCCGCCACGGGCTATAGCAGCTTTCCTCACCCCTCAGCATGGCCCCCTGCCAGGAAGAGGCTTGTGCTTGGGGAAACCATGACAGGAGCTGCTGCCAGATGGCAGGGCAGGGGCTTACCTGCAGGCAGGCCAGGGCTCATCGGGGGTCCTGGGGTCTCGCTGGGGGTCCGTAGGCTCATGGGGGTGCAGCAGGCTTACACCCATGCATCTTGCACTGGAGCCGGGGACCAGAATGAGTGAAGATACTGCTTGCTTTGAAGGTCAGAGAACACCATACCTAGAAATATGGAGGAAAAATGATCAGGTTCTTCTGCCTCATACCTAAACTCTAATTCATTCCTGGAAAGGAGTGCTATTATACCATCCTCAGGACAGAAAGGTATGAACCCTAAAAAGTGGAAGATCTTACAACTGCTCTTTAAGAAAACTGATGAAAAACAATACTTGAATACACTGCTTAAAGTCTGTATTTGCAACATTTACTGGCCAATTCACAATTTTATTACTTTTCAGACATATTTGACTGTCAAAGGAATTAATTCATATCTGTATTTAGGATGCTGAAAATTAGATCACTCTCATGTATTATTTAGGGTGCTATAATTACAATGGCCATTCAGCAAGTAATACCCTACTATTTTTTTCTCAGTTTAATATTATTTTAAAATATTAAACTTTGACAGAAAATTTGTACACATTTGCTGAACACAGTTATTTTTCAATGTAGTCTCCTTCTCCATCAGTGGCCTTTTCTGTCTGATGAACAAGGGCGTGTATCCCAACTCTGTTGAAGCCTTTGTCTTTATTGTGCGGCCACTGTCACACAGTCTCCATCACTTTGCTGTCATCCTAAAAATGTTACCTTGAATGTCATCCTTCATCCCCAAGTTATATGAAGGATGGGGTAGCACAGCCTCTGTAGTGTGAATGTAGGTGTGCTTTGTCTCATAGAAGCAGGACTTCAGACATGTCTCTGTCAGGACAGGAACTTTGTATGCAAAATTTAAGTTTCTTCAAGTTCTTGACATAGACTTCCAAGATTATTGTGGCCCCCTTAGGCAAGAAGTTAGTAAGAGAAACTCTCCCCATGTCCATGGCTTACTTCAGAGCTAACATTTTCTACAAGGGTCAGTCAGAAAGTGAAGCCTCCTATATCAGGATACAAGCCCTCATAATAAGGTAAATAAAGTCTGGAATCAAAGTGCTGAATTAAAAACATTGAAGAAAGTTTCTATAAATAGTGAAATGCATGTATGAATTTCCTAGAACCTTACTGAATAATAAATTAACCTATCAATAACTTGGTTAGGGAA